CAAGTCTTCTCGGATAAGGACTTTAAACCGTAGGCCCAGTGTACACATCTGTCTCTTATACACATCTAGATGTGTATAAGAGACAGAGTTTTTCATTCGTATGAAAATTTAATAGTGAATGCATAATATAGAGATGCCCACATATTTTCGGAGCTATCTGGAGCTAAGATGTTAGAATAATTTAATGCATGTATTTTAGTATATAATTTACTTCAGCTAACTTTTATCCATTTTAATTCAATTTTAAAGGGATACAAAATCTATTAGCACAAGTTCATATTTTGAATGAAATTCAGTGTTGATCTTTGGTTGATGATCTTTTGAACTCATGTGACATAATTAACAATGTAAATTACATTGTCCTTTATAGCAAATGATAACAAATGTATTATTCTACACTTTGATATTACAAACAAAAAAATATATTTAGTTAGTAAAAAGTTGTTTGCTTACATGTTATTGTTACCCCCACCCCATATTAACCAACCAAATTTAAATGCTGTACAAAAACAGGTACCTATCATTGATGTTGGTTTACAGGCACTGGGAACCAGAAATCGCTTGACTAACAAAGCATTTCTTGAAGCTTAGACATAAAGGTAACTAAAAAAACATGACATGTATAAAGCAGGGGGTGCACCATTTTAGTTCCTAGCCCCTTGACTATAAAATGGATAATATTAAAGCAAAACATTAACCTGATGGTGCTGATTGTACCGATATTGGTGTTCCCCAATCTCCAGTAATTTCTGCGTTATTAACAACTCTAGAGTCGACGTGATAAAAAACACATGGTGATAATTCCGATATCTTGACTTCTGTTTGCAAACTGTCCGTTGTGTTGAGGATGTCCTGTTCATTTCCATCTTTGCTTTGGTATCGCACTTGATATCGAAGTATATCATCGCACTGGATTCGCTCTGGAGCATTTGATACAGGCTTTACGTAAAAAAGATACGAAAGGCTCACTAACTGTCTTTAATATCTTAATTAAAAATTATTTAATGCTCAATAAATCGCATCTACATTGTTTTGGTTAATTGTGAGAGCACACCGAGATCAAAATTGGGGTTGTAAATTAAATATGCTTACTCACCTTTAATGTTAAGATAATATCATTACCATCAACTGTTTCCAATTCTATTTCTGGATCTTCTAAAGGCTCTTTGAGAAAAGAAACAATTATTATTATTATTTTTATTTTAATTATCAAGGCTTTACCAAACTCCATTTATGGTAGCACAACAACGTGCAAGTTTATGCAATAGCTATATAGGCTACATGTGTTTATAGCTTATTAAACGAAAACATGAACATTATTAATACACATTACTAAAACTATCATGTTTTCTATAACATGTAAATGACCATTGTGAGATACTAGAACTCAGCTGCATATATCAGTATTTTCACACCTACATGGTCCCAGTAGTGACGGTAATTTTGTATTCAAACTACAGTAGCTGTAGCTGGTTTGAAATGCTTCGATTTTATGCTAAATTGCATTAGATAAAACTTCAATTAGCCATTTTCATTAATATTCAAAATATATAGAATGACGTTATATTTCAATATGCATATCTTTGCTTTCCAAGCACGGAAAGTGACAGGAAAAAATTTAAACAAAAAAAATGGCTTTTCCGCTAGTTCTGGAAAACCAATAATTATAAGATCAGCAAAAATAGGATTGACAGGTTGAGGCCCATCTCACTTACCTCTGTCTTTGCTAAGACAGCAGAAGAGTTTGTTTGTGGTTGGGTCTTTGCGGATATATAACCAAGAATAGATACTCGACAGTACGGTAATGTGAAAGGGGCCTCAACCTGCCAATACCTTGTTCATCTTCTTCATGACCTGTGCTCTGCAGCTGACAAAAGTCGCAACATTGGCACGATCGTACTCACGGACTTCAGTAAAGTGTTTGATCTTATCGAACAGAATATCTTATTTAACAAAATCATCAATATTGGAGTCCGTGGGTCAATTATCCCATGGATTTGTGACTTTCTTAGTTGCAGAGAGCAATGTGTCAAGTATAACAACACTTTATCTAAGTTTATATCTCTTAAGGGTGGTATACCTCAAGGCACAAAACTTGGAAGAATTGGTTTTAAAAATTTTGGTAAATGATGCAGAGCAGAGCATGACTAATAAATATCTGAAATACATTGATTAAAACTTTTTATGAAAATAGATCCATTAGCCAACAAGGCATTTTACAACATGATCTCAATATATTTTACGATTGGTGTGCTAAAAACTCTGTACAGCTCAACCCTAAAAAACCCACCAATTATACAACCTTGCTTTGATGGCAAACCTATTAATGTACTCTGGTTGATAAAACTGTAATATTAGGCGTTATTCTGAAATGGAATGACCAAGTTAACAATATTGTTACTAAGGCCAATAGAAAACTGTTCATGCTCCGAAATCTTAAAAAGTTTGGAACAAGAACTCTGTGAAGTCTATAAAGGGTATATTAGACCAATATTAGAATATGCTGATGTTGTGTGGCACCCAGGTCTCACTCAAGATTTAAGTAACACCATTGAAGTGATAAAGAAAAGAGCATGCCATATTATTCTAGGCAAAAATTTCAACTCTTACGAACATGCTCTGGGCCTTTGTGAACTCGAAATGCTCTCAGAAAGGAGGGTGGCACACTGTATCAAATTCGCCAAGGGTCCCACTTCAACATCACATTCTTTTAATCTTGTACCACACACAATAAAAACCTCCGAAATGGTAACAAAATCATGCAATTTAGCACAAAAACCAATAGATTTTTTAATAGCCCAATCCCTTATTATATCCAATTACTCAATGATTTATAACTTATACAGTAATATTACCTTTGATGATCTGGGTGTGCCACCCTCCTTCCCGATTGGGGCTACTAATTTTCGGTTCAATTTGCAATTTTTTTCCTTTGAGTTTTGATATTTTTATATCTGCTTTTTTTATATATTGCCTTTTGTTATATTACAAGCAATTTGGCCCATTGGGCCACCATTTGTAATACAGTACTGGCATGTGTTTTATCAATAAATAAATAAAAGTGAAAGTGAAGTAAAGTGAAGTGGGCTTACTTGTGCATATAGTCTCTGCTGATCCATGTTCACTAGGTGGTCCATCGGTTTCTACGCCGCCAACTAATCTCGAGTATTGTACGTAAAATTCAACAGTCGTGTGCAGTGTAAGATTGTCGATGATATATACACCATTGGCAATGATATCAATGAATGTACTTGTCGATGACGTATTATACCATAACTTACATCCGGTAATAGTCCCTGTTCCAAAGTCTAGAAGAGGATCCCAGCTACAGGGTATATGTATGGTAGTTGCTGTTTCATTCAAAGGTGTTGGCGGTTTGGAACTGTAAGGTAGAGCTAATAACAAATAGCACTCGTTATAATATTTATTTTGAATATATTAGTTTGGTGAAAGGCGCTGAATGTATTATGTATAGGTATAAATGTGGCTTAATAGGAAACAATAAGTTCTATTTCGTGGCTTAACCTTGGAAATTGCATTGCGATTATACAAAATCAAGATTTAAGCTCAATTTAACAAAATTCAAAGTAAATTTGAAAATGTGTATGTTACCTATGCTGCAGTCCTCTCCAGCCCATGCTTCATGGCATCCATTGCCACAGCTTCCATTACGATTACAATCAGCTGAGTCTTTGCAATGACATGGATAGTTACACAACACACCAAAGAAACCAGATGGACAAGACTGGTCCTGCAGTAATTCTACAAAGAATTGCGACATCATTATAATCTTTAAATCTTGAGTCAAAATGTATTAATTATGTCTAAATTAACTTTAGTCAATAATACCAAAAGAAACAGTTATTCCACAATACATTTTAATTCTAGAAGTCTTCTAAAAAACACTGACCAAATTAAACAGCTTCTGACGTCCCTTAATTTTCCTTTTGACATACTGTAATATCAATTAGTGAGACTTGGCTGAAAGACGATAATCCACTAGTCCAACTTCCCAATTATAATGTTGTAGCTAACCACAGAACTCATAAACATGGTGGTGGAGTAGCCATATATATTTGTGATGGCCTTCAATTCTCTTTACGAAAAGATCTCAACCTTAATCCTGATATTTATGAGTCCATTTTTATCGAATTAATTCAACCAAATCACAAAAATATTTTTTTTGGCACCCTGTATCGAGCTCCATCCCTTGATTCTACTAAATTTATTGATCAGTTTGATAGTGTTATGGCCAAACTGTCTTGTGAAAATAAATATGCCTATATTCTTGGGGACTTTAACATCGATATACTTAAACATGAATCTAGCAACGATGCCCATTATTTTGTTAATTCCTTCTTTAGTAATCCTTATCTCCCCCTTATTCATAGACCATTCCGTATTACAAATACTTCTTTTAGCCTGCTTGACAATATTATTACCAATATGTTTGATTGCCCTAACCTCAGTGGTTTATTATACAGTGACATAAGTGATCATCTCCCTGTTTTTAACATATCCTATCTATCGAATATTGCTCACCCATCTAATGGTGCAGTTGGCTCAGATAAGGAAGTAAACCTAGATTTAGAGATATTAATCCCTTAACTTTAGAGAATTTTCGCCAACATATTTGTAACCAACAGTGGTCTGAAGTCCTTGATGTGCAAGACCCCGATGAAGCATAATTTTGAAAACATATTCAAAAATCTCTATGAAGAACATTTCCCATTCAAAAATGTAAAAAAAAAAATCACATAAGCTAAAACCATGGATGTCTAACGGCCTTCTCAACTCTATTAAATATAAGCAAAAACTTTATGCAAAATTCCTTCATTGCCCATCTACCAAAAATGAAACCAAATACAAACAATTTCACAACAAATTAAATTCACTTATTAAAATTACCAAAGCTACCTTCCCAAATCCAACAAACTTAACTGGTGATAAATCTTTCTCTTCCTCTGCTCCAAAACTGTGGAATAATCTTCCTATTTCTATCCGAAATGCTTGTAGTACTGAAGTCTTCAAAAAACTCTTAAAAGCTCATTTATTTCCTAAATAATCCTCTTCCTACAATAAGCTAAGCGCCTTGTATCCTTTGGCAAAAGGCGATATATAAATTTCTATATTATTATTATTATTATTATTATCTACTACAAAAATGATATCAAGTCTACTTGGAATAATATAAATCTGCTGATAAAAAAAACAAACCCCAATAACCAAACAAATCCCTATTTCAATTCAACGGTAAACAAACTAACGATCCCGCAATAATTGCATCTGCATTTAATGACTACTTCGTTGAAATCGGACCCTCTTTAGTTAACAAATCCTTTAAGGAATTCTTACCCAACCCTGCACCTAATTCTATTTTTCTCACCCCTGTTAATGAATCTGAAGTGGCCTGTATATTAAACTCATTTAAAGTTAATAAATCACCCGGTATTGATAATTTCCATACCAAAGTCATCAAATATGTTGCCAACTACATCTGTCAACCCCTATGTCATATTTTTAACCTCTCGATTTCCAAGGGGTTTTTCCTAACAAAATGAAGCTAGCCCGTGTTACACCGATTTTTAAATCTGGATCCAAATCTGACCTTTCAAATTATCGCCCAATCTCAATCTTTTCAAAAGCCCTTGAAAAAATAATCTATGATAAAACACTCAAATTTATTACTAAATTTAATATACTTTATGACAGACAATTCAATACATCCATTGCCCTTACTGACCTCACCAATAAAATTGTTGATGCATTTGAGAATACTCAATTTACTATAGGAATTTTTATTGACCTTTCCAAAGCATTTGATACTATTGACCATAACATCCTTTTATATTAACTTTCTCACTATGGTATTCGTGGTCCCGCTCTCAATCTTTTTCGAAGTTACCTCTCTAACCATTCACAATGCACTAAATATCTCAACACTATCTCCAACTTTCGCCAGATTACTTGTGGTGTCCCCCAGGGATCCGTATTGGGCCCTCTTCTGTTCCTTTTATATATTAATGATGTTCACTTGTCTTCTAACCTTCTTTCTTTTTTTTCTTTATGCTGATGACACTACTATCCTATATTCTAACAAAAATATCCATTCTTTATTCAACATTGTTATTACTCTAATTTAATTTCCACTTCCCAATACTTTGCTGCCAACAAACTTTCAATTAATCACGAGAAGTGTAGCTTCATTCTGTTTCGAAGTCCCCAAAAATCACAAACTCTCGATCATTCGAATTTCAAAATCTATATTGATAATCACGAAATTCCCAATACCGAATTTGCTAAGTTCCTAGGAGTTTATCTTGACAGTGCATTAAATTGGAAAAAACAAATCTCCCAAATTGAAAATAAAGTATCCAAAAGCCTTGGTATCATTTTTAGGTTATCCTCATTTGTTCCCCGCAATGTTCTTCGTATTCTTTATTGCTCTCTTATACTCCCCTATCTGAGCTACTGCAACATTGTTTGGGGAAACACCTACTCATCCAACTTAAGCAAACTTCAAATCATTCAAAAGAAGGCTATCAGGATTATATCTGGCATTCCACCATGGTCTCATTCTTCTTCTTTATTTTCTAATCTCAATCTTCTTAAATTCGCCGACATTAATTCCCTTCAGCAAGGTCTTTTTATGTACTCCTCCTACCATGGTCTCTTACCTTGTCACTTCTGTAACACTTTTAAATCCAATTATTCCTTTCACAATTACAGCACACGTAACTGCGCTAATATCCATATACCCAACCATAGAACCAATTACTTCCAGCACAACATCAGATTTTCGGGCCCCAAACTTTTGGAATTCGTTACCCTCACACTTGATAAATGCATCTTCCATTAAAATTTTTACTAACCAATTCAAAAAACTCTTAACTTCTGACTACTAATTTTAAACATTTATTCAATCTCCTTCATCTCCACTTGGTTACTACCTTTCGCGCGGTCTGTCGGTCTGTCTTCGACTTGTTTTGAATGTATTGTTTTTTGTCCCTTTCTATCCTGTTTTGTCTTTTTGTCTCTTTTGTTAATCTCATTTTTTCCCTCTCATTTCAGGCTGTCCCTCCACAAGATTGGTTTTTCTTATCTTCTCGGGTTCTTGCCTTCTTCCTCTCCTGTATTTTCAATTTATTTTAAATCAATTGTAATATATTTGTCTGATTCAAAAAGGAAGTAAATAAATGTTGAATTGAATTGAATTGAATGTTCACATGTTCTTGTGTCTTGAATTATTATTTGATTCGATAGTCTTCCAGTCCTGCATGTAGATTAAACATTCTCAATTCCTATTAAAATAGGCCCTAACAAACTCAAAAGATAACAGTTTTAAATTATACGATAATAAACTAAAACATGTTTAGAAATAATTGATAATTTCTAATAATTTTTAAACAGAATACTCTTTTTTCTGACCGTCTCTCCCCATTGAAAACAAACAAAATAAAAACATAATGAAATGTGTATAACTGAAGATCATATTTTTTCTTTTTCATATGCCTACACGGAGGTCAACCTCTCCTCCCCTTCAAAGTGTAGAGTACATTTTTTCTTTGTAAAAAAGAGATGAACTTAGGCGTATTTCCTTAGAGTCCCATTCAAATTAGGAACGACTAGGTGTTTTTATTTGAAAATCAACAATTTGCACACTATTGCTAAAGGAATGGTAAACATAATAGGCAGTCATACAAATTCATTTTTAGATCCTCATAAAATAAATTTATTTATCCTCCTCGGTTTGGTGGCACTCTAGTGTCTTAAAATACACCTATTTTGTAGAGCTCTACTATAGCAGATCAAATTAATGACCTTTCACGTCAATCTAAGAGATATCTCAGTTTTAAATAAAGATATCTCTTAGTTAAAACTAAGATATCGCTCTTTAAAACTAAGATATCTTTATTTAAAACTAGGATATCTCTATTAATAGAGATATCTCTGTAATAGAGATATCTCTATTAATAGAGATATCTCTGTTAACACTCTGCCCGCCAAACACGGAGATCTCCGTGTTTGGTAACGCAACACTTGAAAGTCAAACATGAAGATCTCTGTGTTTCAGGTTTTTTTTTTTTACGGAATCAAATAGATGGGGTAATAATCAACACGTACTAACAATTTGAACACTATATTCAGTCTGGACTGTAAGTATTTCACTATTTGTTTGTTTACATTAGCGTAGAGAGGTATTGATTTACTTTTAAGAAATAACGATTATCTCAGCTCCGTTGTGCGAAATTTCATTTTACTGTAACGGGTCACAGATTCTGATTAGAATAAAGTGTTTGGTACCATTGTAAAGCTAAAATGTTTGTAGTTCTTGTAGTATCCATTACATGCCAATCTGATCACATACTCACTGGATATGGCGGCATAAGAATTGCTATTTGTTCAGGAATAGATGATCTGCTGCATTGGACAGTGAGTCCCTCTTTGTCAATATCGAATTGTCCAATCAGGAATCGCTTATTATTAGATCCATGTACTGTCCACTATAAAGGAGTGACGATAGCTACAGTATATGTCAAGTCTTTGTAACACTGTTAAAGACATCACTAACTCTAACAAATCTGCTACTTTTTTGGGTGGGTGGTGATTTCAACCTACCTGGAATTGATTGCTCAGACTACTCAACCAATCAACCATTAAATGATTTGAGTATCAACTTACTGTCCATGAAGACAATCACTGGCCTTGCCAAAATGGTTACATTTCAAACTAAATTTGACATTCTACCCTCTATATATCAG